TTCAAGTCTGGCATTAACGGCTAGCTTGGCAATTTTGTTAGCATGGCTTCGGCACTCAAAGTGATGCTAATTTACCTAATGACACATGAGAAAGTCAGCATCAAAAGGGAATGAAATAACGATGCTGCAGATCAAGAAAGATGCTCTATATATTTTTAAAATAAGCTAAGTATGTTACCTACAAAATGGAGCATAGCGTTTATGAATTCGGCATATGTTCAAATTTTGCTCGCAGATCTAACAAAGACCGTACAAAAATGAAATTACTGTACGAAGCTGAGAGGAAACAGATAAAATGTAGATAGAATGAGATAACTGGAGCCCGCCACAGCCAACTCAATTCTTCACGAATAAAACAAAACGCAGTACCGTAGATGTATTTTAAACTTTACGTAAGACATTCTTGGCCACGGGTAATAGTATTACCTGTGGATGCAAACGTACGTGCGCGTAATAGAGTGGCCCAGATAAACACCTCTTCAAGAAATGAAGATAAACAGAAACTTTAAAAACATGTGTAGGGAAGGACGAATATTAATTTTAAACTTCAGGGTAAATCCGAATTTCTGTTTTAAGTGAAGGAGTCAGTATCGACGAATGTGGGTAAACAGATCAGTGGAAATAAGCTTCAGATAGCATGCATTTATATCGAAAACTGACCAACTAGTCGCCATCTCCAGAAACCTTCATAAGAAAAAGTGGAAAATTTTCGCCTGAGTGAGAATCTAAAGATTATAAAAGTTGATAAGCTAACCATATCAGAAAAAAGCTGGACAACGCTGGCATGTCGGTATACCTTCACTTTCATGAAATTCGGAATGCGCTGCTGAACTTCGTTTCCATGCCATGCCTTATTTTTTAAAATTATAATCTACAACCTGTGGCAAGCGTTTCGTTTAGTCTCCTGTTGTTTTCCCACGGAGTGATACTCACTTATCAACTCGGAAGGAAGAACAATGAGTGACTCTGATCAGAGATTGAACTCGGGACTTATCGGTTCTAACTAATACGCTCTACTGACTGAGCAATCCCGGCCTTAAGCAATATGTGGTAAATTCCTTGCTCAAAGGAATTCAGGAATAACACAATGACTGCCCTCGAGCGGAATCACTCCCCGAACCTTAGGCGTTCGAAACAGACCTCTAAGGTAACTGTGCCATCACAGCACTGTAGCATGAATCAAGTGGTGCGAATTAGGGAAACTTAATGTGATGTTACAGTATGGCTGTGTTATGGAACAAGCGCAACGCATGTTGTAACTAAACTAGAATTTTTTGGCTAAATTCAAAAATGTGAAGGAATAAATAACAAGCATAGGGTTAAGTGTATTTCAAGGCTGCAAAAAATATCATTATTTTTTCAGCATTAAAAAATAATTAAATTAAGCTTTGTACCTGAACACCGAATCGTTCGGCGTACATTTCGGCAAACTGCTTCAGGGTAAAAGCCCAACCGTGGAGACCTGAACCGAAGCCAACGCTCCCAATTGCTGGGTCGACCTAAAATGTCGTGCATGAAAAAAACACTATTTACGAAGCAGACGGCAGATCGTACTTGAATGTTGCCCATGGGCCCCGTTTCATCGCCGTAAGTGGCGATGATGACGTTAATATTTTCTACTATTCGTTGAAAAGTTTGGTACAGCTCCTCGGATTGAAGCTGCAACTCAAGCAGCGCGCGATCCATCTTGTTCATAAACAATAGCGGCTTGATTCGCTCGCCGATGGCTTGTCTGAGCACCGTTTCGGTTTGAACGCAAACGCCTGAACATCAATCATTTTCAAAGTAATAAAGGTTTAAACTACAATCTCTGACAAACCATACCATTAACGCAATCTACAACTACCAAGGCGCCATCGGTGACTCTGAGTGCGGCTGTTACCTCGCTAGAGAAATCAACGTGACCTGGAGAATCGATCAGATTTATGAGGAATCCGCGGAACGGAACTTTCCCATCATGTTCCAGCTGGTTCTCGCCCTTAATGTACATCAAGTCCTTTTCCTCCAGCTCAAAGTACATAGAGACAGCACTATAAGTACATTAAATAATAGGCGTGTAGCAACAATCGTGGTAATTAGCTTCATTACAAAAAAGAACAAGCATTCTAAAACATTTTATCATTAGCCGTAGTCTATAATTTATAGCGACAAATCATCATTGCATGATCACAATAACTACTACGTCATCATAAGCTGACAAGCGATGAAAATAACCTTAATTTGCCCATTCATCAAATGGTGAGAACCTTCAACTTTTCCTTCATTCACATGTGCTTTAGCATATGGTGCCTCAGCCGTGAGATAAAACAGTATCATTTCATAAATGATCTGTACCACCCAATGAG